GGTTTCTTCTTGTTCACATGAGTCTGCATGGACCATCTTGATGTGCCTTGTCACCAACTACACCAAGAGCTCAGATGTGCTCCCTGATCAATCTGTACGATAGCCCAATCATTTAAAATGAATCTAGTCATCCACCCACTTGCATTTGCACAAACACAACATTGACTATGGCTTTCTGGTCCCGCCCTGGAAGCATGTGGAATGAACCTCTTTGACCATCCTGGCACATCCATGCCATTCAGTCACAGCTTGCTAGAACAATGAATGCAAAAAATACACAGCTGGCATTTTATTAACTTGAAGGATTATACTTTCAGCAACATCCCAGAAAGTAGTTTATCTAAGATGTATCATCTGTTACACCCACATTTGAATTTCAATACTCATCACTTCATAATCAAAAACAACTCCAGAGAAAGCAGGGACTGCATTTATCATGTTATGCTGTTTACTACTGGAAAGAAAACAGAGGAGCATTCCTATTCTACCTTACGTATACTCTTTGTGTCACACTACAGTCTCTTGATGGATACCTCCACTCACTGCATTTTTCATCATTTTGGCCACACACGCAGGTAAAATTACTTAGCACAAGCGCAAAGCTATTGAGGGTGACAGTTAGGTCTTTAAGATACTTCAGGGACCAGTTCTTTGTTTTTCCTGTCTTCCCTTGTCTTGCCTGTCTTACCAGAGACCAAACATTTTGAGCAGAAGCTGTCTTTTACGGAGTGTATATGCATAGCCTAGCACAAAGTAGGTGAGAGGTTTTGAAAGCACTGCCTTTGACACCATTTCCCACAGCACCTCCTGGAGAAACTGGCTGCTCGTGGCCGGGATGGGTGTACTCTTCAACAGGTAAAAAACTGGCTGGACACTTGGCCCAGAGCTGTGGGGAATGGAGTTAAATCTTGTTGGGAGCCGGTCACACATGGAGTTTATTCCCCAGGGATCAGCGCTGTGGCTGGTTCCCCATAACATCTTCATTCAGCCAGGACCCTGGCGAGGGGATCGAGGGCCCCCTCAGTCCGTCTGGGAGGACACCGAGCTGGGGGAGTGTGGATGGGCCCGAGGGCAGGACGGCTCTGCAGGGGGATCGGGACAGGCTGGATCCGTGAGTGAGGCCACTGTGTGAGGGGTAACCAGGACAAGTGTCGGGTCCTGCCTTTGGGCCACAACACCCAAGGCAATGCTCCAGGGATGGGAATGAAAGGCTGGAAAGTTACCTGGCAGGAAAGGACCTGGGGGGTTGGTGTCAGCAGCTGAACATGAGGTGGCGTGTGCCCAGGTGGCCAAGAGGCCAATGACATCCTGGCCATCATCAAGGACAATGTGGCCAGCAGGACCCGGGCAGGGATCGTCCCCCTGTGCTGGGCACTGGGGAGACCACACCTTGAATCTCGGGGTCAATGTTGGGTTCCTCACTCCAAGACAGACACGGAGGGGCTGGGCTGGGGCC